TCTTTTCCTGCTTGCGTGCGAAGAAGTCGGCCAGGACTGGGAAAGAATCTTTGGACAGATAAAGAACTAACAACTTGACTAATAGTTCTTCTGATGTCGGAGGTTCTGAGAGATTTGAGTGACTATGGATTAACACTGCAACACCCTAAGAACTCTATCTGCTTCCCAGATAAAACAGATAGAAACTGAGTCCGATGTGAAGATTAATCTTAGTTATTTGCCATTTTTCACTCCCCTACATCTACTCAACATATTCACTGAATCACTGTCGGAGCGGTTGCTCTGGTACCTTCATTTTGAATTAAGTCTTTGACCCAAATGGAAACATTTGCAATAGATTTTTAGGATGATGCAAGAAATGAATTCTGTTTTCATTTGAGACTTAAGATCATTTCTAGAATCTGCTCCCAGTCTGCGGCATAGAAATGCATTTCTAGATCTCAAATGAGTAAAACCCAGCAGCAGGTACTGTTGTGGTCGATCAGGACCAAAACCTGCAAATTCAAGCTATTTATTGGTTTTGACTATATGCCTCAAATCAGCTGCTGACTGCAGAACCAGCAGAATCATCTACATTCTGCCAACGTTCAAGCCTGCAGAGAACCAAAGTTTCACTGGTAGCTCAGAGCTTCATACCTTTTCTGTTGCGATTTGTGTGGGAATTCCAGGAGATATCCAGCAGTCTGGGTTCCTTCTGGTACCAGACCACAGTAGCTCCAAGTTCTGGTTCCTCTGTATCTTCTTTAATCTGAAGATGATCAGGTTCCTCCATAACCTCTTGTATATTTGGCTCCTCTTTTATCTCTAGAGGTTCTGGTTCCTGTTTAGTCTGTAAAGGTTCTGATTCCTGAATGGAGCTCTTCTGCTGGTTCCAGATCTGTGGCTCAGACAGAACTTCCTCTTTAATGCTGACATGTTGCTTTGGCTGGTCTGTATTTAGAAAAAGAAGATCCAGACAGTTGAAAATGTTTGTTGAAATATTCATGGAGGAACAAAGCTCAAAGTTTCTCTAGATTTGAGCAAAATCCACTGAACAATATCTGAACCTATGGAGTCTGAACAGCTGCCCTTTTTACTGGTTACCATGGCAACATGTATAGAGGTTAGCAATAAAAGGATAAAAAGTCGGGATGAACCATTATTATCCACACGATACTCAAACTGAGATGCATCAGGATGTGATGGTGATTTTAATTTAGAGCTCAAATGTAACTACTTTATATGCTTTGACTTAAAGCTCAGTGTTGAACTACATGAAAGAATAAGAACTGTAAACAAAATAAAATAAAGGTTTGAGATTCACAACAAATTCCCCATGAGTGCATTTTATGTGTTTCCACAAATAGAATAAATATTTAGGTAATAATATCAAAAAATTCAGTAATTTAGTTAAAAAAACAATGATTTTTACTACAAATGTAGAGAACAAATAAATTAAAAGGAGTGACAAGATAGTAATAACTGCTTTATTTTCAGAAACATATGAAAATACTCAAGTCGCTTCAGAATAGCAGACATTTATGAATGAATAAAAAAAATATCTCAGTTAGTATTACATTGATGCAAAATCACAACCTGCAGTAAAATAGCAAATATATCAATGTAGAACCAAAAACAGAGCAAATCAACTTCACACAGCAGTTTTTATTCTCTTCTCAGTTGTGTAAACATCCGTAAATCATGTTGGCCCCACATCCTGGATGTTATGCTGTGTCTATTGTCTTTAACTGGATTTTAATTCTTAACCTTAAAGTTATTGTTTACTTTTTTGTTCCTTCATAAATTACTGAAATTGTTTTATTGTCCAACACGAGTCCAGAGTCGATAAATGCAGCAGACTAGGCCTTTAGCCCCGATCAACTAGATACAAACTTCAGCATCTGCTAAAGTCGACAGTTGGACGGTAAGCAACAGCTACCAGCCAGCCAGCCATCATCCACCCACCCACTCTGGTCGCTAGTGGGTCGGCAGGGTTGCTGGTGCCTCTCCAGCTAACACTGAGTCAGAGGCGGGTTCACCCTGGACAGGTCGCCAGCCTGTCGCAGTACCACCATAATAACACCAAAATCTCAAAGACTTAATTTTAAATCTAAAAATTTAAATCTAAAGCTTCTTACCGATTCGGTTGAGTTTTATTTGTGGTTTCCAACACATTTCTAGCAGTTTGATGTCTTCCTCATAGCGGACGATGGTTTTTTCAACCTCTGTGAAGATTTCTTCAGCAGCAGCAGTTAGTCGCTCTTTGATAAACTCTCTCAGATGCTGAACTGAAGACATGGTTGCTGAAACTACAGAAATATTCAGCTGATATACGACAACACAACCGCCTTTCTGCTGTGTCCTTCTTGCTTAACACAAAAGGAAAAAGGACTCCGGGTTTATTCCGCTGGGTGCCACCCTGAGACAAACAGGCTGATTGGTCCATTTCCGCCCCCTGCTGGACTGAACTGGAATAGCGTTTTGGCAGCAAAAATAGACAACATTCTCTGAACGTAGTCCAAAACTTTTCTAAACTGAAGTTTCTTTCTAAACTTCTTTCTAAAATGTTTGTCCTCCTAGAAGGCTACAGGGACATGATTCAGTAGCAAATTAGCTATTGCTATAAAAATGCATCCATCGCATGTAGGTCTATTCAAGAGCCAATGTTGAATGTATTTGTCCTCGTTTAAAAAACAACCATATATATAAAATATTTACTATGTTTTGGATGTAAAAATGATTGCTTAGGACAGCAAAGCATCAGTTTGTTTCTGTGGGTTTAAGCTGCCATCTTGTAAAAGGCAACCCACTTTAAATTCACATTCTTTCCATCCCAACATACTAAATTACATACACCAGTCCTGTGACTGATCAATAGATTAAGAGTCAATTGTCCAAACAGTTATTGATTTGATTCAGAAAACTGATGAGACATTACATTATAAAACATTAGAAAAGATGGTGTCACTTTGTAAGTAATCAGCAATCATTTCTGGATTTCTATCAAGCAGAGCTTAGTTAAAGCTTGTACCCATAGAAGTAATGCCAAGTGTTTAACCCCTGACCAATTTAAATTTTACCTTAATACCTTTGATCTGCAAAAAGAACCTGAAGAATTAGAACCCAGATCATTGGGAAGTGTCTCGTAATAACCATCCCCTTGTTCTAAGCTTTATTTCGTAGAGACAGTCCCTGATCTCGGCTATTGAGAAGCGATTGCTTGCTGGATCTGTGAACTCTGTTGAAGTTTGAAACTACAGGATCTGATTTTACCCAATCGCTAATGTCTGGAAGAGTGGCCAAAACGGGCTGGACAGCTTAGTTTACATCCTCCACTCCCATTTCAGAACTACAATTCTTAATGCGACCGCTCCTTCTGTTTGCCCATTTTTCTGGTTGAAATTCAACCAGAAAAATGACATTCAATGGTACAAATTTTAGACAGAAATTTGGAGGGAGATGAGAATCAAGCAGAAACTAAATATTTATTGATTCATGCTAGAAAAAACTTTGATGAAAACAAACAGTAATTCATGTATTTAAATTCAACATTTCTTGAAAAAGTTTAACTTGATGTTTTTGTCCAGTAAAATAAAAAACTAATCTATTCTAACATTTTGGTTTTCACAAGTCTAAAACAAATGTTTCAAATATGTGAAAAAGTGAAACATTTTGAACAAAAAAATTGCAAATCAAATGAACAAACTTTGTAAATTTAAAACACATCAACCATCAGTAGTTTGTTACAAAACTCAAAACTGAAAGCAGAAACTTTGATCTATTTAAAATCTACAAGAAAATAAACAAAATCGGCAAAAAGTAACTTAGCTTAAATAAAAAGTAACTTAGCTTAGTTGGGGATAAACTTTCACTCAGTCTTCTTTAGAACCATGCTTTGGATCATTTAGGCTCAAAAAACAAAATCCGCTCAGTACAGCTCTCTGGAAATAAAGATTTCAGTAATGTTAAAGTCTGGCCTTTGACTAGGCCATTTGAACCCTACAATTATTTTGTTGTCCTGATGATGACCCAGCTTGGACCAAGCTTCAGCTGTTTGACAGATGGACCCACATTTGGTTCAAGAAGAGTTTGGGACAAAGACGACTGTTGAACCAATCAACAAGCCCACATCATCAGCTTCCACCACCATGCTGGAAAACATCTACAAAGCATTTGTTTTCCTCAAGCAAACATTTCTCAAAGCTCTCTGCAGCTTTTCACATCAAAAAATATTTTTTATACAGTTTCAAGGTACATCCACAAAGTCACACAATCCCAAAACAAATACTAAATACAAAGACTAAAATTAATTATTTCTGGTCTGTTTGTGCAATGTTCCTATCAATGAAAGGTTTCCTATCGTTTATTAGCTTTGTCCCTAATTGCACTGTTTAGAGTCAAGGACCACAATCATGTTCGAATAGTTAAACTCCACAAATACTTGATAATCCAAACATTGCCAATTAAAAAAAGTTTAAATAGCATACACCTTAATATGCACTGAAATATGCAGAGATTGTACGATCTTGAGACGACATCAAAAGTCAACATCAGAGGACTTCATTATCTCCACTATTAAGAGTACAGCCAATCAGCAGCAAGGAAAATAAATGGCGTTTATATAGTGGCTGCTTTGCAAACACCAGCCAATAGTGTGTCAAGTAGTACTTCGTCAAAGTATTTTAGCCTCCCATGCAGCATTTTCCTTTAAATATTTCATAGATACTCCCTATGAAAAAAACAATCTGTAAATAGGCATAACCTGAAAAGCGAGAGTGGACTGTAGCACAAAATATGACATTTGTCCATAAATTCTGCTGCCGTTCACAAACTTAGAAGTCTCTTAAGACCTGACAAAAAAGTTCTGATAAACCCATTATTTCACCGTTACTCTTAAATAGTGGTAGCTGGTGAAAATTTCTTTATTCCCTTTCCTACTCCAGTATAAAGATTCAAATAAACGATCAAAAAAATGACTACAACTCCATAATGATATAATATTCTTCAACTGGCAAAATAACATGGAGGGCTAAATTAGCCAAAAATTAAAGTTCTGTTCTATAACTTGCAAAATATATAATATTTAGGAATACCAAACTAAATTGTGATTACCTACAATTTAACTTTGAGCAAAAAGGAGTCCAAATTCCATCAAAACAAAGGTTTTGAGAATGAACTAATGACACCAGACAGCAGAGGCCTTTCAACCTAAACAAACTAAAACACAAAATAATCATGGCTACAAACAAAAAGTTAACCCAGGAAACCGGAAGACTAAACCAGGTTCCGATGAAACCACAACAAGCAACCACAAACGATTGGCTATTTAGCTGCACTTCTGGGGCACTACTCAGAAGCGCCCCAAAATTACTTCATTTTCATTTTCGCAAATTGAAAACTGCAAAGAAAGGTTTAAATATTTATAATGTTAACTGTGTGTGAGAGTCAAATGTCTCCCTCTCACTGTTATGTTTTAGTTTCATGTGGGAAATCAGATTACCAGGACGGAGAAAATGTTGTCCGCATGTCTGGCAAGAAAAACTTTTTTGTTGTGTGTGAGTTTTCCTGTGAACATTCAAATTACTTTTTCGAGTGAAACGTTTTCCGCATGTCTGACAAGAGAATGGCCTCTCATTTGTGTGGATTCGTCTGTGGACATTTAAGTCCGAGCTCTGAATAAAAGATTTCCCGCATGTGTCACAAAAAAAAGGCCTATCACCTGTATGAATTTTCTTGTGAAGCCTTAAATGACTAATTCGAGAGAAACGTTTTCCACATGTTTCACATGAAAAAGGCTTCTCACCTGTATGAATTTTCTTGTGAAAATTTAGATGATCTATTCGAGTGAAACTTTTTCCACACGTTTCACATAAAAAAGGCTTTCCACATGTGTGGGTTCTGTAAAACTGTGCCTGTGCCTCATTATGAGAATGACTCTCTGAAACAGTGGAGCTGCTTCCTCCCTGATCTTTGCTCTCAACTACAGGAAAGATCTGAAAGGAGAGCTGCTCAGTTTGAGGTCCTCCATCACTCATTTCATCTTCTTGAAGAGCAGAAGTATCCATCAAAGCAACAAACAGCTTTTGGACAAGATGCTCTCCCTCCTGACTGCTGCTTTGTTCATTCTGATCCTGTCTGGTTGGTAAATGTTCTGGTCCATGATGTTCACGTTGAAGCACTGAATAATCTGGTTCCTTCTTTTCTACAATTATCAGTTGAGGTTCTGATTCCTCCTCTTCTTTAATCCATTTATTTTCTTGAATGTCCTGTTCATCAATCAGTGGTGATTTTGGATCCTCATCTTCCTCTTTTATACATGGAGGTTCTCCAGTCCATTGATGTCCTGATTCCTCCTGGTCATAACTGGACCTCCTCCCCTGATTACAAACCTGTTGGATGGCAAAAGTTTGCTCCTCACTGGAGAAATGTGGCTGTCGGAGGTCTGTGGGGATAAAGGAAGAGATCATTGATATCATTTAATTGATGACTTGGAGATCTGAGACTGTTGGCATCACACAGTTCATCTAAACATAGTTTGTAGTGCTTATTTATTTTCAGAAAAAAACTGTCCACACTAATTGGCAGTCCTGGTATAGATGTTCAAAAGATTTAAGATAAATTCTGATTGTATTACAGCAAAAAGAACAATTAAACCTCTAATTTTAAGACATTTATTCAGTGGTGAACTTTGTTACAGTTACTGATGCCACAAACAATTTCTACAAAATAAATGTAATAAATGAAGAATTTAAAACCTCAATTTTTAAAGTTGACCAGACTGTGTAGGAACTTTAATTAGTAAAGCATATTATTCTTTACAGTGTAAATATGATATTTGTGGCATGGTTGATGACTGAAGCAACAACATTCTTCAGGATCTACAAGGTCCTGAATGAGTTTATTAATGAAGAATTTACAAAACTTTCTGCACTTGGCTGAAATACTTATTTTGCTGGCTGGCTCCTCCACTACTCTCTGAATGAAACTACGAAAAGAACAGCTTTCCCAGCAACCTTCATGTGTCTGAAACAGAATATATTATAGATCCGACCTAAAACAATCCAAACACACCTGGTCCGAACAAGATCCAACACAGCCAATTAGCTTTAATTAAAGGCCCGAACTTGAAGTAAACCCTACATAGGAGAGAAAAGTGCCACATTTACTACATTGCATGAAGCCAAAATATATCTTCTTGTTGTCAGCTACCAGCTTAAAATACTTACAAAACACTTGTTTGACTTTACCTCCGTTAGCACAGTAGTCTATTATTTAACATATTCCAGGTCCATTCGGTCACTTATTGTAACTGCAGTAAACATCCTCTGCAGTTGTTTACTGCAGAGGACGCAGTAAACAACCTCTAATGCACACCTGGCTCTGCAGGTGTGCATTAGAGGTACCAGGTGTGCATTAGTTGTGCAATGCACTGCGCTTGTTACAATCTAACTTCTGCACTGCTTTTCTTTATTCTTCAACAGGATAAAGTACTTACTTTTCTATTTAATCATTCATAAATAGCTAAACATTTTAGAATTTTCAACACTCCAGACTTTATATTATTCCTTTGTTGTCCCATATCTGACTTATTGTATCGAGGTTTGGGGCAACACATGTAAAACTAACATTAAGCCTTTGTTTGTGACACCAAAGAACTGTATAAGTATTTTGTACAAAGTGAATCCTAGAGAATATACAAATAAATTGTTTATTCAATCAAATATTTTGAAATGAAGGGATTTGGTTAATTTAAATTTTTTTTATCAGTTATGTTTAAAGCTAGAAATATGTCGCTGCCATTAAATTTACACACTTTTTTGTCTTAAGCTCAAGTGACAGAAATAACCAAAGGAAGAATTATTTCAAAAGTAAAATTGTGCTGAGTACTTTAAAACAAATGTGCATTTCTGTGCATGGAGTCAAATTATGGAATAGTTTGTCTGGGAATTTGAAAAAATGTCCTACTTCAAATCACTTCAAAATACTTTATAAGAAAAAAAATATTATGTCTTATACACTTTTGAGTTAGCAATGAGGAGAATGATATGTTTTGTAAGTTATAATCTTCATTTTATACACATGGCCATGAAAACAAAATGACTTATTTTGTAATTATTTCTTCTTCCTGCTCCTTTTCACTCATGTAGATGAAAAGGAGCATCTTTATCTGTATAAGACAGTGTTTTTTGTACATTGGTAATGTAATGTGTTTTGTTGAGTGAATAAAGATATTGGTTGATTGGTAAATGGCTAAAAACAAATTACACTGTGCATTCTCATTTCGTGTTCTCTGTGCTGTATTATAGGCTTATTAAAAATACGTAGCCTGAAACCAACAACAACATATTGCAAGCCGACACACCTGTTTGACGCTCACTTCTCTCTGGAACGCATGATATACATGATGAACATAAGCAATGTGAATCACATTATAGTAAACATGCATAATAATGTAAGTTAAATCTGGGTCTGAATTTTACTATTCAACAATGTTTGTCTGAAAACCTTTATTATTATTCGGGCATCTGTTGCATTAACATAGTTATGGGGATTAAATGATCTCCATTTGGTTCGCAGAGACTCTAACAAACATTTTCTAATTGTGCTGCAACATTTTGTCCTGAGCTACAAAGAGGCGAACCTCTGTAGCATCGGAGCTAGCAGCTAAAAACGGTTCGTGTTCAGCCCGTTTAGCAGCAGCGGCTGAACACGAATATTTTGTGTTCAGCCGCAAAATATTCGACCTACCAGAACTTTGTCTGTGCAGCTCCGAACCGATTCTGCTGAGCTTTATTTGTTGCTGCAAGTTGACCCCCATCATCCTGCGCTGAGCATCGAGCTCTTCCTCGTAGCAAATGATGGTTTTTTCAACCTCTGTGAAGATTTCTTGAGCAGCAGCAGTTAGTCGCTCTCTGATAAACTCTCTGAGATGCTGAACTGAAGACATGGTTGCTGAAATATTAGCCGAGCTGGAACAACGCAGCAGCTATCTAGCTTAGCCCACGCGTGTTTCTTCTTCTTCTTCTTCGATCTT